TTCTCTTCTCCAGGCTGAACCCCCCCAACTCTCCCAGCCTGTCCATAACATAAATAAGATTGTTTGGGAGCAAGATACGGTGCTGGAGTAGGATGCTCCACTGCAGTTCAGAGGCTCCATCAGCAATGGCCGGTGGGATTGCTCCAACCCACGTGCAGGACCTTACACTTGGCCTTGTTGAACTTCATGAGGTTGACACGGGACCACCTCTCCAGGCCCCCGTGGATAGCATCCCTCCCCTCCAGCGTGTCGACCACACCACACAGCAGTGATGAGGGCAAGGCTGCCTCCAACAGCCGAGGGCACATCCTACAAATTGCTCTGTCCGTGTGCCGTCTCCTCACTGTGATGTGTCACCTCACGGCTGGAAAACCAGCTCTGTGCACCCATCTGGTAGACTCTGCACCAAGCTGTGCTGACAGGACATGGCCACAGGCACGTCAGCCCTGCGACGGATGGAGGAACAAGCCCTGCTGGTGACAGTTGCCCTTGGGTTGTTTGTTAACGGTGGGGCGGATCTGCAGCAGTACGCAATACGCCGCGCGGTCTCGCCACTGCAGGACTGCGCCCCGCGCCCTGCCCACCCTGTGCAATCAAGGCGTCGATGCCTAACGAACCTCCCGAGAGAACTCACTCAGGAGGAGGATGCTCTTTTCCTGACTACCTGTCCTGCCCCGGCTTTGCTGGTAAACCTGCTAGAACAGGGGTTACAGCAAAACAGACTTGCTTGCTTGCGTCAGTATTGGAGATATCAAAAAAAAAAAAAAATATGACATCATACAATTCATAATGAAGTGCAAAATGGACTTAATTTAAGGAAGCCAACTAAGACTTACCACAATATTTAACCAAGCAGCAGATTGGACAGAGTCATACGGGGAGCCCGAACATGGCAATTTAGTGGTGTACAAGCCTCGGAATGGACGAGGAGGTACTAACCCAGTGCCGCACCAGGTGCATATTAAATGAGCGATCTTTAAATGGCAGAAAGAAATAAAAGAACATCCCAGCTCTGTATATGCCCGCAGAGAGCGGCACCGTGCAGAGTGCCTCACAGTAGCTAAATCTTTTCCACAAGGCAAAGTAATTCAACATTTTACAAAATAAATGTTCTTAATGTTTTCCTTATTTAGGACATTGATGGTGTTGGGCGTAAGTACTATCTGGAGTTGGTGTTAGAAGACGTCCTCGACAAAGTGAGTTCACATCTATTTAATTAATAACATTCTGTGGGCAGAAGTTGGCACTACTGATGTGTAATGAAAAGCCATCGCTTTATGCTGCTGATCCTAGCTGAGGTCAGTTAATAATACTTGGTATCGTGTTGCAGATTTTTCTATACTGCACATCAGGTAAAAAAACCCAAACCGAAACAAAATGCTTAACTTTACCAAAAGGGAGCCCCTGTTTTCTACACCATAAAGCCCTGAACAGCTGGTACCTAGCACCATGACACAAGAAAAGGGATGATAAGGACATTTCAGTGTCATTCAATTTCAGATTGAAGTTATTTGAACCCATTACTCCAACTGAACAGCACAAGTGACATTCTGCACCACCACCACTGCCCGTTCCATCACTGCAGAAAGAAAACTGCCCTTATCGTATAGTCACAGAAATACTATGAATTCAACCTCGTCTTAAAGAATCGCGAATCCCTACGAGCCAGACTCTAGAAAGTGCACATTACCAATATTATACCTGTATTTAATCAAATATTAATCCACATAATTAACTCTGTAACAGGACAGTACTGTTAACTGCACTGCTGAGGTTCTTTATCATCTGGGCAACAACAACATTGCTCCAGATGTGCAAGTCACACTTGAAGGAGAACTAAAGAACACAGATGAAGCAGATAACATATTCTACCATCGAATCAAGAGCCTGGAAAAAGAGCTTGTGGCAGAAAACATACCAGGTACAACGAAGGGGTCTGGGCGAGAAGGAGACAGTGTCCTCCATGGCCAGAAGCAAACCTGAGCTCAACCGGTGGTGGTGCACGATCCGTACGGGAGCGCCTCCCAAACAAGCCGGGGCCGAGGGGCTGATGCTGTTAGCCCTGCTCTGAACACATGCTGCTTCACTTGCTTTTATTCCGGGTGGCGCGTCAATCACAACACTACTAAATTTACTCCTCTTTTCTGAAATCCAGAACCTGTATGTGATTTGCACGTGACTCTTCCTGAAAACCACCTGCCGCTGTCACCTCTGCCTTTACCAACGTCCTGCTCACTGTCTGTGGCTGTAGGGTACACCAGACAGCCCGACTGTAGTACTAGGGTCTGCTCTTCCTTTAGAGCAACCCCTGCCGTGAAGACCTTGTAGAATATATATTAAGAAGTGGGAGGGAAATAGACACAGTGGTGGTGTAGATTATATGGAAGGTCTCTGACACAGCAAAGAACGTAAGCGAGTCGCTTTTAGCACCAAACCCTACTATTACAATTATAGAATCACAGAACAGTTTAGGTTGGAAGGACCCTTGAAGATTACACAGTTCCCCCCCCCTGCCCTGGGCAGGGCCACCTCCCACCAGCCCAGGTTGCTCCAAGCCCCGTCCAACCTGGCCTTGAACACCTCCAGGGATGGGGCAGCCACAGCTTCTCGGGGCAACCTGCCCCAGGGGATCACCACCCGCACAGCCAAGAATTTCTTCCTAATATCTAGTCTAAATCTCCCTTCTTCCAGTTTGAAGCCATTCCCCCTCATCCTGTCACTCCATGCCCTTGGAAAAAGTCCCTCCCCAGCTCTCCTGGAGCCCCCCTTCAGATACTAGAAGGGGCTCTGAGGTCTCCCCTTTTTCGCCTTCTCTTCTCCAGGCTGAACCCCCCCACCTCTCCCAGCCTGTCCTCCCAGCAGAGGGGCTCCAGCCCTCCCAGCATCTTTGTGGCCCTCCTCTGGAACCGCTCCAACAGGTCCATCTCTTTCCTGGGCTGGGGGCTCCAGAGCTGGACGTGTTAGGTGATGAGGTTCTGTTAATGGCTGCAACTCCATCACTCTTGCTTAATGCATATTATTCATTTTGTTTGCCAGACAGCTACGGCAACGTGCCCCCAGAAATGGAGCCCATCCGCCTGCTAGCGTGGGTCGCCTCTGGCTACGTGATATGGCAGAACTCCACTGAAAACACTAAGTTCCAACTTGCCCAAATTAAACATGTGAAGCAAGTGGTAAGTTACCATCAATGCCCTGCAAGAAAAATAGCACTGAAGAGCTAAGGAGTTGTGGCATGTACTGGAGTACAGCTGAAGCTAAGTTCTTAAGCAAGAAACTTCAACTGTGTCTGAATTTCTTGGTCCAGTTCCTTTTTAAGCCAGCGTTTGGTTTTTGTTTCACCTACCCCTTTCCTCAAGCAAATCACGAATGCTCGAGTGTTTATTTAGATGACTCCTTCTCTTCATAAATCTTGCTTATAGAAGCTGTGTCTCCTAGGCAAGAGCAGTATTCTGTGCTTATTTAGTTAAGAAAATTGACTCTTCCACTTGGAGGTCATCACATTGATTACGGTTTTATATTACTTCCCTGCTTTTCATCTGTCGTGTAAGCCCAGCTGACAGTATTCTCGCATCTGCATAACACGCATTGGAATATTGTCCTTTATCTCTCCATCTACACCGTGATCTAGCCGTGAGTCACAGAAATAATGCCTGACATCTCTGCAATAGCCACGTCTAGACAAATAGCATCGGGCTGTACCTCAGCTTCAATAAAACACAATCTACACTGCTTTTGTTTGCAGTGCTGCAGTCTCCATCCGTTTACTAGTTCACCTCAAATGCTAATCAAGAAAGAAAATACTGATGTAATTCCACTCTCATCATTAGTTTTTTTTACTTTGTTCTTCCTAAACTTACTTTTACTGATTTTTAATATATTTTGGCGGGGGGAGGGGGGGGACACGGACCTAAAATTAATTTTTAGTTGAACTCTTACACTTCTATTAGCATGATGAGCATCAATTAAGTTTATCATAAGAAATTTGAATTCAGGAAGATGTGTCACAAGACAGAAAGGCAACAGAATACTTCAGGACAAAACGTCTTCTGTTTTTGCTTATCATGAAGTTCTGGGTGTGAAGGAAAGGCAGAAATTGGTTCTAGGAGCACGATTAGTTAATGTTTTGCTCCCTCTGATGGCTATCTGAGAGCAGTTCGCAGGTGCTGCAGGGCTGTGTACAAGCAAGTTTTAAACCCCTCTTTAACAAACCAGATGAATTTAAGGATAAGGCAGGCAGAAGACTATTAAACTAAACCAGCTGTCATCTCTTTAGTAATTTTGTTCCTTTTCTTTCCCTGAAGAATAGATACATAAAGAGTATGTGCAAAGGCCAGTGGGTATTCTGTCGCTCACACAATCACTGATAATTTGTTATCCACTCTAAGGCCTCTGGCATGTGTTCCAAGTCTTATCCTACTGACAATTTAGGATTATTTGGGTTAAATTAATACATTGTAGAATCAGATGTTCCGTTCCCAAATGAGTTCTGAAGTTGAAGACACATCTATCTGCTTCAAGAGAAGAATTAGCACAGTTTTAAGTTTCACATTCAGTCTCTCAAATGCAATTTTGGAGTTCACAGAAATACAAACCAGTATCTCTTTGTTTGGTTATATTGACTAAGCTCCACCTGCTTTACTTGTTAACACAAGCTGCCAGTTTCGTCTGAAATATATCAGGTTTTATGCTAACCAAAGCAGCATGAAATTTGGGGAAGCCCCAGATTCAGCCCTTTTCATCTTGTCTTTCCAGAAAAGAAGCGATGAATATCTTGAATTTGACTACATGATTCTACTTCATGAAATGGTGTCCCAGGTAAAGTCTTATTTCTGAAAAGCCTTTTTTTTTTGTTTGTTTTAAGACTACCAACTGCGGAACCTCCAACTCAGACATGCAGATGGTGGGGCGGTCACAGATCTGCTGCCTGCAGGTCGGTTAGCAAACGAGGTGAGGTTAGGGCGACGATCACTATCAGCCTTAGCGTTATCCACTTCTGCCCTGTGCAGGCAGGAGACAACAGGTCTCCACCTTGTGTCAGCAGACAGTTAATATTCAGCTATTTCTAGGCCGCCTTGGGAAGGCAGAGGTTCAATACATTGGTCATTCACAGCTTTCTCCTCTTGGGAGATACTATTGCCAAACTGGCCAGGGATGAAGGGAAGCAGCAGCTGCCAGCATCCCGCACTGCTTAGCTGCATTCCAGCTGGAGCTGCAGAGTGCTTCTACAGTAGAGGACAGCAGTGGTGGACCAGTACACAGAGAAATCATCTACCCTAGTAGCTCCCAGAAGAACGCAGCAGAAACTGGTTCCCAGAACAGTATTTACATTCTATGTTATTCTCTGTCCCTATTTTGTGATCTGAGCAAGTCTTTTCATAAGAAGAATGCAGAAAATTTGAAAAAGTAATTCTCAATTGTGCAACCTCCTGTAATAAACCACCCACCGGTAACAATCAGAGATCTCGCTCCCACTTCCAGCTCCACTGCTTCCTAACCCCCTGCACTCTCAGCTCACTTGGGGCATCTATAATGGTTCTAGTTCCCAAGTTTTCTCTGAAGAAAAATCCCTGAGAAGTAGTAGCTAACTCGTTGCAGAACAAAGACATAGGTTCTTTGTTGTGCTTCGTTTGGTGAAGGGCAGATGTCTCAAAGTATCAATAGCACTAACAGTAAGAGGGTTACCCAACATAAACACGCCCGAGCTACAGAACTTCCCTAAACGAAAGAAAAATGTAGTTGCAGCAGCATGGAGCACAACACAGGCTGAAAAAAACTTGCAGAACTTCAGATATTTGGACAGCTGAGCAGGACCGTGTGTTACAGTGCTTACCCCACACTCTTACTGGTGCTTCATCAACCTACATATAATCAGCCCAGGTATGGCTGTATTACAGCAGTCAACTCCCGTTCAGTATTGTTCCAAGAAAATACCTTCTCACTTTCTACAGTTGTATTTTCTATCCGCAGGAGATCATTCCCTGGCAAATGACAGTTCTCTGGCACCCACAGCATGGTGTTAAAGTAACACAGGACAACCGTCAGCCAAAACATGCATCGGAATAACGGACCAACTGATACTGCAATGGGAGAAGCTCAAATGCTCCAATAAGCATTTGAAGGGAGGGCAGATAAGTTGGTGAGGGTGGATATGCAATCAAGGTACAAAGGAAAAAGTCCTTCCTCAATTAAACATTTCCTGTACGTTGTGCTTTGATTTGATAATCCAAAAGACACTTTGTCTGCTATGTAATCAGATTTTACATCAAAATAGATTTTAAAAACTTCTGCTGCCAGAACGAATACTTACGGCACAGGTGCAGCGATGTTCTCCCTAAAGGCAACTTTCGGCTTTCCCATGGTGCAAGGGCAACCATATTCTCTTTCCATTCGCTGCAGAAAAAAAACCAAAAAAACCCGAATGAAGTACAGAGTTGTTCCACTGGAACAGTGCATTGGAAATTATTTTATTTACAGGTCTTTCTGAAATGAGAAACTTAATCAGGGTTAAGCAGTTTTTTTGTTTGGGGTTGGATTGATTTTTGGGGTCTTGGTGGGGTGTTTTTTGTTGGTTTTTTAAAATGTTACAAATTATTCACTGTCATTCTGCAGTCATCCTTGTTTAGGGGCTATGGCTTTAGATACAGGAAAAGAGAACAGCATTAATTATTTTGCTCAAGTTTAAGTTTTCCAAGACAAAAGCCATCTTTTCTTCATTCTGTCAACATTTCAGATACATCTATTGTGTTAAACTAAAATAAAGTTTAAACATCAACTTGAAATAAATAAATAAATCACTGTAAGTAACTATTCCCTCCTGCCTGCATCATCTATTATGGAGTGATACATTTAAAAACGCAGCAACAGAATATTTTGCTCTCCTGTAGGAAATGGCTAGCAGTAAAATTAATTGTAAGCAAAGACTGCTAATACAAAGTGTAGTGCTTAATACAACTTTTTATGGATTTGGACCAAAAAGTAAAGATATTCCAGGCAGCAGTTTCATTTAAATAGTTTACAAGCCTTCAAAATGGAACCACTGGAGAGAAAAACCTTCAAAAGTTGACTAAGAAGTTATTAAGCTCTTCCCTAAGCAGCTGGTGTTGTTCATATTAATGCCACAGTGTTTTCTGCTAGCAAGATCTCAAAATTGTTGTCACATGATAACCTTGATTTACACAAAAGCAGGTGGAGCTGTGCACCTCCAAACCTCTTGCAAACTTGACATGCGCTCAGGCACTCAATTACAAAATGGGGCGTAAAGGCTGGCATCAGTTAGCCCATCTGCAGAGAGATTTTGGCCTCAGCCAGAAAGGAAGGAAAATTCTTGGTTGGGAAAACAGTCAAAAGCAGAGCCCCTGGAATCTGCTTTCCAAATTACCTGGGCATAGATTTCCAAGTGCAGTTCCCCCATTCCTGAAACAATGGTCTCCTTGCTCTCGTCGTCAAAATGGATTCTAAAAGTAGGATCTTCCCTTGTAAAGCTGTTCAGGCCTTTTGAAAATTTATCAAGGTCATTCTGAAAAGCAATTACACGCACAAGAAAACATTAACTCAACATCCAAAAGTCACACAACAAAAAGGGCTTAAATCTTCCTATCAACCGCTTAGCACTTCTACTCTCATGAAGTTATTTGGTTATTAGAAATACATTTACAACTGTATTTATTTATCCCTCCAGTTACTTCAAGTCCATGTTTACCCAGGTCAAAGACATGCACCTTTATGGCTAAGTGATACCATCTTACACAGTCACATGCTGATCCAAATGATGTCTTAAGTACTTTGGGTAGAACATTTTAGAACATGGCTCATTTTTGTCTGTGGTTCCATATTTAACTGCTAACCCACATAAAATAATAAAAGCAGCAGAGGAAAGGTAACTCAGTGTCGTGGTCAGAAAGAAGTTGGTTTATAGGCTCCTACCTTGTTGGAAGGCTTCATAGCTACCGAAATGACAGGATCAGGGATGTGAATGGATTCCTGCAACAACCATAAAGGAAGAGATTATACAACCGAGTTCCACTACACCTGGTGATGCAATTTCTCCCGAAAAGTTTGGTCCCAAGAATTCTGGGTTACAAACAGGGATGACTGTTTTACTTACCTAAGCTTGTATCTAATATTATAGCGTAACAAAATTAGGTAACTCTCCTGAGGATTAGTACAGGGCTGGAACATAATGCACGCTGTACTGCCAACCACAGTACCTCCAACACTGTTTCCTATATGTGAGCTGATCTCTGGATTTCACACTAGTTAGAAGACTCTGCTTCCTGTCAGATTTTGTAAATATATATATATATATATATATGAATAAAACTGATGTATTTAAATACATATATAAATACATAGCTTAATACTTTTGGGTAGCAGCATCCACTTGTAACAGCCCAGAACGGTTTGCTAACACTGAAGTAATATTTGACGTCAAGTGTAGTAAACAGGTGCTTATCTCTCTTGCACATACCATACTTCTATATATTCAGGCTCCTTGAGGTATAACAAATAATCACAAAAAAAAAAATAGTTGCAGCTGCATATACATCAAAATATATTTACACTGAGTAAGAGATTAAAAACTTTTACAACAAAATCTTGGTAAATTCCAATGCATGAGGCATACAGATGGAAAGGCGTACTCACCATGGAAATGTCGGTACTGGTTTTATCAGTGAACGTATCTCCACTAGCACAATCAATTCCAAACAGCGCACATATGTCTCCTGCATAAACTTCATTTACATCCTTAAGAAAGAAAAGTTTGCTGTTTAGCTAACACTGAAAGATATATTACAAGCTTTTAAGAAGATATAAAAATACTGTGTTTAAAAGCTTGAAATGAAGCTCTTTTGAAAATTCCAGCTTTGACAACATGCTCTGTAAATCTTTTATCTCCTTATTCAAAGCACAAAAAGGAGACCTCAGCTTGGATGGTAACTTGTTCTAGTGTAAGGATGTGAAGCAAGCAACACACTATGTTTCAGGCAGTCCTGACCCAGCTGTAGAGTTCACAAATCTTAAAAAGGGTGGGATTTGCAGCAGTTTAAGAATCAATTTTTAGTTTAAGAATTTTCACAGAATTCACAGAATTCACAGAATTGTTAGGGTTGGAAGGGACCTCTGGAGATCATCTAGTCCAACCCTTCTGCCAGAGCAGGGTCACCTACAGCACGTTACACAGGACAGCGTCCAGGCGGGTTTTGAATGTCTCCAGAGTGGGAGACTCCACCACCTCTCTGGGCAGCCTGTTCCAGTGCTCCACTACCCTCAAAGTAAAGAAGTTCCTTCTCATGTTAAGATGGAACTTCCTATGTTCAAGTTTATGCCCATTACCCCTCGTCCTATCACTGGGTGCCACTGAAAAAAGACTACTCCCATCCCCCTGGCATCCTCCCATTAAGTATTTGTATGTATTAATAAGATCCCCCCTCAATCTTCTTTTCTCTAGACTAAAGAGACCCAAGTCCCTCAGCCTTTCCTCATAAGAAAGGTGCTCCAGTCCCCTAATCATCTTTGTTGCCCTTTGCTGGACCCTCTCAAGCAGTTCCCTGTCTTTCTTGAACTGGGGAGCCCAGAACTGGACACAGTACTCCAGATGCGGTCTCACCAGGGCAGAGTAGAGGGGGAGGATGACCTCCCTCGACCTGCTGGCCACACTCTTCTTGATGCACCCCAGGATGCCATTCGCCTTCTTGGCCGCCAGGGCACATTGCTGGCTCATGGTCATCCTGTTGTCCACCAGGACTCCCAGGTCCCTCTCCACAGAGCTGCTCTCCAGGAGGTCAGCCCCCAACCTGTACTGGTGCATGGGGTTATTCCTCCCCAGGTGCAGTACCCTACACTTACCCTTGTTGAACTTCATAAGGTTTCTTTCTGCCCAACTCTCCAGCCTGGCGAGGTCACGCTGTAAGGCAGCACAGCCTTCTGGCGTGTCAGCCACTCCTCCCAGTTTTGTGTCATCAGCAAACTTGCTGATGGTACACTCTATCCCTTCATCCAGATCATTGATGAATATGTTGAACAAAACTGGGCCCAGTACTGACCCCTGAGGGACACCACTTGTTACTAACCTCCAACTAGACTCTGCGCCACTAACCACAACCCTCTGAGCTCTATCTGTAAGCCAGTTCTCAATCCACCTCACTGTCCATTCATCTAAGCCACACTTCCTAAGCTTTCCTGTGAGGATGATGTGGGAGACAGTGTCGAAAGCCTTGCCAAAGTCAAGGTAGACAACATCCACTGCCCTCCCCTCATCCCCCCATCTAGTTACTTTGTCATAGAAGGCTATCAGATTAGTCAGACATGACTTCCCCTTGGTGAATCCATGTTGACTACTTCTGATAATCTTCTTTTCATCCAGGTGCTTTGAGATGACTCCCAGAACAAGCTGCTCCATCATCTTTCCAGGGATGGAGGTGAGGCTGACCGGCCTGTAGTTTCCCGGGTCATCCTTCCTGCCCTTTTTGAAGACTGGAGTGACATTGGCTATCCTCCAGTCCTCAGGCACCTCACCTGTCCTCCAGGACCTTTCAAAGATAATGGAGAGAGGCCCAGCAATGACTTCCCCCAGCTCCCTCAGCACCCGAGGGTGCATCCCATCAGGCCCCATGGATTTATGTATATCCAATTTATCTAACTGATCTTTAACGTGCTCCTTGTCAACCAAGGGATAGTCTTGTTTCCCCCAGACTTTCTCTGTTACCTGCAAAGTCGGGGTCTCACAAGGACTGGCCCGAACAGTGAAGACAGAAGCAAAGAAGGCATTTAGCAACTCCGCCTTCTCTGCATCATCCGTCACCACAGCACCTGTCTCATTCAACAACGGGCCCACATTTTCCCTAGTTTTCCTTTTGTCTCCTATATACTTAAAGAAACCCTTCCTGTTGGCCTTGACATCCCTCGCCAGGTTCAATTCCAAGGCTGCCTTGGCTTTCCTTGTTTCCTCCCTGCATACCCTGACAGCATTCTTGTATTCCTCCATTTTATTCAATGATCACACGGAAGAAAACTTTTTTGTGTTTTTTGCCAATCCTATTTCCCCTCTCCCAGAAGTATAGAAC